GAAACTAGAAAGACTAAATTACCCATATCAAGTAAAAAGTTCTTGTTTTAATTTAAAAATAATTATTCTATAAAATGAAAAGCGTAATGTATTTTTTTGTAAAATGAGAAATATAATATTGTGTTTTTTCTATGTTACCGCAGATATATTTTTATTTTAAATTTAATTTTCATTTCAACTTTAGAGAAATGTTTTTTTTTAGATTTTTCCAAAAGAATAAAAAAAATAAGACTTTGTTTCTTAAAAAAATTAAAGTTCGATAACAGCTATAATATAATATATTATATAGAAAATAGTAATATAATAATCATAATTAATGATAAATTAAAGATTTTCAAATTGATTTTTAAAATCGAATAAATTGTCAATCGTGCAATAACTCGTATTTTATACCTTGTGTGCTGTAAAATTAAAAACAAAAAAAACACAATAATATATTATATTTCTAATTTTACAAAAAAATACATTAAGCTTTTGATTTTATAGAATAATTATTTTTAAATTTGAACAAGAATTTTTGACTTGATAGGGGTAATTTAGTCTTTTCTAGTTTTCTATTCAAGGGGTTATGTGCTAATTTCATAGTATAAGGGGATCATGTGCAAAATTTCACAACCACAAGGGGGTTATGTGCCTAATTTCATACCATAAGGGGGTCATGTGCAAAATGTCAAAACCTTAAGGGGGTTATGTGCCTAAATTCATACCATAAGGGGGTCATGTGCAAAATGTCCAAACCAAAGGGGGTTAAGTGCTATTTACCCTAAAATATATACACACACCTGTATATATAAATAGGTGGTGCAAACTGCAAAGACAAATATATCATCAGAATCTATGGCGGCCTCCTTCAAATCAGCAACCATCCTCGAGCACTGCCGTGTTCCGCCGCCGCACGGCGGCGATGCGGCGGCGGAGCAAAGGCTTCCGCTAACGTTCTTCGACGTGATATGGGTTCACTTCCATCCAATCCAACGTCTTCTCTTCTACAATTTCCCCTGCTCAAAAACTCATTTCCTCCAAACAATAGTCCCAAGTCTCAAAAGCTCCCTTTCTCAAACCCTCAAACATTTTCTTCCGTTGGCCGGAAACTTAATCTACTCGTTAAACTCCGGCATGCCGGAGCTCCGATATCTTCCCGGCGACTCAGTTTCCGTCACGGTCGCTGAGTCAAACGAAGCTCATGACTTCGATTACCTGACCGGAAACCATCCTCGTGTTGCGGATGAGTTCTACTCTTCTTCTCCGATTTACCGACGCCGGAAAAGGAAGGAGAATCCGTAATTATCCCAGTTTTGGCCGTCCAGATAACACTGTTTCCCGGTGCCGGAATATGCGTCGGAATCAACAATAGCCATGCTGTCGGGGATGCGAGTTCTATAGTTGGATTCATAAAAGCGTGGAGTTCAATCGCTAAACTCGGCGAGTTTCCGGTTTTGACTCGGTCACTTCCGATCTACGACAGATCCGTCGTGAAAGATTCGTCGGGGCTGATAAATACTTTCTGGAACATCTTAAAAAATTTGAAGATCGAGTCTTCTTCCTCGCTGCTAAATTTACCGACGAACAAATTCCGAGGGACGTATATTTTGCAGAAAAACGACATGCAAAAGCTCAGAAACTCCGTCCAAGCGAAGAAGCCAGATTTACTTCACCTGTCTTCCTTCACCGTCACCGCCGCTTACGTTTGGAGTTGCTTGGCCAAATCCTCGGCGGAGGAGGAAGTGGCGGACAGTCAAGACGAGCCGGAATATTTCGCCTTCGCGGTGGACGTGCGGGGGCGCACGGATCCACCGATCCCGGCCAATTATTTCGGCAACTGCGTGGGCATGGCGGTGGCGGAGTCCACGCACGCGAATCTGAAGGGAGAAGACGGGTTTCTGACGGCAGTGGAGTTAATCGGCGACGTGATCCGGAAAAAGGTGAACAACAAGGACGAAATACTGGCAGATGCAGATAAGTGGCTGTCGAACTACGAAAAGATGGTCGGAAAACGCCTGTTTGGCGTGGCGGGATCGCCCAAGTTCGATTTATATGATTCCGATTTTGGGTGGGGAAGGGCGAAGAAGTACGAGGCGATCGCCATCGATGGAGATGGGTCCATGTCACTCTGCAAATCCAGGGAATTTGAAGGGGGGTTGGAGATTGGTTTGTCTTTGCCCAAGAAGAAAATGGATGATTTTGCAGCTGTTTATTATCTTGGATTAAATATTTGAATATTTAATCCCAAAAAAAACTTGATATATCATATTTATTAATTAATATAAATAGAATGGTACCAAAAGAAAGCGACCACATAAATCTTATCCACGATTGATTTCTTCTAGTACCAAAATCCTCTGACCTGAAATTATGGCTACACCACTTGAAAGTGTCACCGTCGCCGTTGCGCCGCTAGCTGCCGCCGGCAGCGAAAAGGCGCAGCAGCGGCTCCCTCTTACATACTTCGACA